AAAAACATGACATTTTTTAACCGCACCAAACTATAAATATATTAACAGAAAGTTAAAAAATAACTAAATTATACCAATTTTCATACGAACGAATAGAGTAGGGAGTTAAACTGTCTCTCTCACTCTCACTGCCCCACTCTAGTAAGCGGCCCGGTAAACTTTTGGCCAGAGCCAGCAGCGCGACTACTACCTTAATTCAATGATTCAATTATTTACAAATTTTTTATAAATTTCTTCGCAATCATTCAATTATTTTCATAAATAATAAAAATTTTACAGTTATTCAATTATTTTCGTAAATAATAAAATTCATAGCAGAAGTTCAATTATTTTTAATACAATTTTAATCGAATTCCTATAGAAAAAATTCTTCTCCAAAATTCAATTATTTCGAAAAATTTTAATAAAATTCTTGGCAAAATTTAAATTATTTTTAAAAAATGTTCTTCAATTCAATGTTTTTGAAATCTACCATTTTTATAAAAATTTTCAAAAGAATTCAATTATTTAAAAAAAATTTAATAAAATTTTACATATGTAAACCTTTAATTATTTTCATAAAATAATTAAAATTTCACAGGAATTAAATTATTTACAAATTTTTTATAACTTTCTTCGCAATCATTTAATTATTTTCATAAATAATAAAAGTTTTACAGTGATTCTATTATTTTCGTAAATAATAAAATTCATAGCAGAAGTTCAATTATTTTTAATACAATTTTAATCGAATTTCTAGAAAAATGTAATTTCTTTTCCATAATTAAATTATTTAGAAAAATTTTAATAAAATTCTTGGCAAAATTTCAATTATTTTTAAAAAATGTTCTTCAATTCAATGATTTTCAATGACCTTTGCGATACAATTAGTTGCGATACAATTAGTTCGTCTAGCAGATGGCCCCCCCCCCAAGAACCTTGTCTGGATCCGCCTCTGTTCAAACAGTAATATTTTTCTAATGAAGTAGTTAATGTAACTAATTATTAGTTTTTCCCAATCAAATTAAATTCCCGATTGGTAGACACCTCTTCAAATATATTAGTAGAAACTAAAACCCGTCGAAGACGGGTACGACAGCTAGTTTATTATAAGACCGAGTGCTAAAATAATTATTTTATATTATACTGTAACTACTTCAAAATTATTTTCATATTCAATTCTTATCTAAAATTTAAATTAAAATTCATTTTCAAATCAATTTTGATTAGAAAATTCTACGAGAATTCAATTATTTTAATACAAAAGTAAATTATTTATTGAATGATTGAATGTTTCTAAAAATTTAATTTTTATAAAGAATTTTATTAACAAATTTTTAAATAATTGAATTCTTTTGGGTAATTTTATTAAAATAGTAGATATTGAAAATCATTGAATGCTGGTGACTATTAGTCACAAAACATCTTGCTAAGTGGACTAATCACAAGAAAAAATCGAAGTTCGACCAAATCTTTCCAGACCAACGGTAAAATTCTGTGGGAATATTCATTTCATTCCTTATCAAATTATGTCATTGTTTGCCAAAAGTTTTTATGTAATTTGCTAAGCATAAAAATAGGAAGATTTACCACCATACAGAAAAAAATTATCAACGATGAATCGCTTCAAAATAATACGAGGAGACATGTCAATCACGTCATACGATTAACTGACGATTATAAAAAAATGATTCATGAACATTGTTTAAGTATTCCCCATTCTCGATCTCACTACTGCATAGAAAAATCAAAATTATTTTATTTTGAAAATTCGGAATTGACTTTAACTAAATTGCATGCTTTATTTGTTGAATATTATACAAATAGATTTGGGACTGCACCAACAATAAATAAAAAAACTTATTTTCACTATTTTAATAATAATTTAAATTTTTCGTTTGTCAAGCCCAAAACAGATATGTTTGCGATTTGTGCTTTAAATACAAATATGTCGTTGAAATTAATGAGGAGCTGAACCGACATAAAAAAAATGTTGAGGATCATAAAATTTTGAAAAAACTATGCTGTCTGAAAATATTGTTTTATGCTTGGAATTTGATTTCGGTCAAAATTTGCCCCTACCAAAACTACCGGTCTCAGATCAGTTCTACAAAAGATTAATTTGGCTGCACATTTTTAATGTCAATGTTTTGGGTGGTCAAAAGCGGAGTTACATGTACAACTTCTTAGAAGGAAATTTAAAAAAGGGGGCAACACTGTGTGCAATTTTATTTTTGACTCCATTCAGCGTGAACTAAGTTTTAATTGTTATGACAAAATATATTTATTTTCGGACAATTGCGGTGGGCAAAATAAAAATTATTTAATGTTATCATTTTTATCATTACTTTCTAAACAACTTCAAATTGAAATTTGTCATGTATATCCAGATTGTGGCCATTCATTTTGCTCATGCGATCGAAATTTTGGCAAATGTAGCGTGAAGAAAAAGAAATTCGAGATAATCGAAACAGACGATGATTATTTTGAAATAATAAAAACCGCGAAAAATCCGCCATTTATTCTTATTAATGATTCAGAAATAAATGTGCGTGATTTTGAAGTTTTTCTTCCACATGACGTGAGCATTCCTAAAGATGTAAAAATTAGCGAGGCAGTAAAAATAAAATATTTTCCGAATGGAGAATTCGAAATATTTAAAAGTTATGAAGGCACCCCTTTTCAGTACAGATTAACTTCGGATATTCAATTTGAAAAATTGTTAAAAACGGATCGAGCTCCTCCAGTAGGAATTAGTCAGGAAAAAATTAAAGATGTTCAGTCTTTATTTCCGTATTTGAGTCCCAAAGGCAAGAATTTTTTTAATGATTTAATTGGAAAGTCTTCCATCAAATCAGCGAAATGCAATTTAAGCAAACAAAAATCTGTAAAGAAAGTTAGGCAAATTTCAAAAACATCGAAAATTTATTCAAAGAATACTAAAAATATAAAAACAGTTGTTCCAAAGATAAAAAAGTCATTAAAAAGGCTGTGAAAATGTATAGAAAAACTTTATTAATTATTAATAATTTAAAAACTTATTTAAACTTAAAAGTTTGTTTTTAAAATTAATTAATAATAAATTAATTTATTGTTACTTACAAACATAATGTATATAGAAAAAAATATTTATGTTTTCGTCAAGTAAAACTTACCAATATTAAATATTGATTGAAATTAGAAACATTTTAAAAATTAAATACTTTGCAAAAATGTACCAATAAAAAATATTATCTTAATATTTATTACATAATTAAAATGTTATATTAGAACTATTTATAAAGACTAAAAATGTTATAAAAAATATTGTGAAGAACCTTTAAAGGTTTTATTTTCAAAATTATTTGAAAATTAAATATCTTTTAATTTTATTTGTAGTGTTCAAACCCTTTTATTCAAACTAAGTTGAGAAATAATTAATGTTCACATTTGCGTTGAATACAAGTTGTAAGTATTAAAAATTTTGCGGAATTGAAAAATTGTAAAAATAAAGAATTTGTTGTAAAATAAAAACATAAGTAAAAACGAAAATAGTATAATTATTGTATTATTTACTGTAATATTAATAATGATAATATTTATTTAACTAATTACATAAAAAGGGAAAATAAAAAATAATGAAATAACCATGTTTACATAAAAAAAATTGTTAAAATAAATTAACAACATAGCTGTTGCTAGTAGATTGCCACCACATTGCCTAAGTTAAGGCGCTGTCTCTTGTGGTGCTTGTGGCGTATGCGTGACGCGGCAGGAAGTTTTTAAAAATTGAATAACTTTGTTATTTTTAAACAAATTTATTTGAAATTTTCAGAAAAACTTCGTTGAATAATATAGAACAACTTTCTCACTGGAAGTTTGTTCAACTCAAAACTTCCCTCGATACTTTTTCTCATCGAAAATAAGATAACCTTATTGCTGACAGGTCATTGTTTATAATAAAAGCAATTAAACAAAAAATAATTTTTAAATGTTTTATGACTTTCTCTTTTTCAGCAGACCCAAATGAGTATGTACATAAAATTCCGAGCGAATTCATTAACATTTTGCATGCAAAAAGTCCGCTTGTATTTTAAAACTTAATTAAATTTCTAAACACAAATTTTTTGGTTTTTATTTTTTTATATGAGAAATATTAGCTCTACAAAAAAAATTCATTGAGAAAAAAGATGTATTTTTTTTATTATCTACAAGATGCTGTTCTTTAAAAACCAAAATTTTGAGTTTTTATTTTTCTCCCTTTTGACCCTACTGACTGGCTTCACAACATTTCAGCCGAGCGTAAATCGAGCAGTTATTTCATTGACCTCCTCAATTGGGATTTTGTCGAGATTTTTTTGTAACTTTTAAACATAATTGAATTTTGTAATAAGAATTGTATTTCTTTTGAAAATAATTGAATTTCTGCAATCATTTGTAATTTCTTCAAAATTCAATTTTTTTAGTGTTTTTAACTAAAATTCTTCTATAAATCCATTAATTGTAATAATTAATTAAATACATATTGACAAATTAAACTAGTTTTGGAAGATTTTGAATTATTAAAATTTTTCAGAAAAGTTCATTAAAATTTCTAATTAAATTCATTCAACATTGAAATTTTATAAAATTTCAAATTGTAATGGTTTGAAGTTCATTTATTTATGAAAATTATAAACGCAACTCTTTTAAAAATTGAATAATTTTTGGAGTGAATCAGAATATTTTTTAGGGTTAGGGAAAAAATCAAAATTTTGTCTGGAAATCAGGGAAAAATAAAATATAATTTTTGTGGCTACTCTGATTTTACTATGGTATATAGGAAGTAAAGATTTGCAACTCATACATCTGAAAATAGGTTTGAATTTTAAAGCTATACGTAGAACCTTCACAGCAGGGAACACTAGTTCCCTATAGTGTAGATGGATAAGAAAAACTTTAAGTTTTTGGGTCCAAATTCTTTTTTACTCGCATAGCAGAATATAAGAAATGATGCTGTGGCCTCTGAGTGGGGATGAGTTTATATAGGTTTGGGGTAGGTTGCTCAAGGGACGAGTATATTCAACAGTCACGAGTGTTCCAGACCCCAATGATCCTCCGAATAGTGAAGTTAATATGAGTGTTCAGAACGTGCATTTTCGTGTTTTATTATTGTTAATTTACCAATAAGTAAAACAAAACGTTTTATTCAATTTTAATGGATTAAGTTTATTCAGTGTTTGTTTAATCAATTCAAGACAAAAATAATGGATCTTTCTTTCATCTTTTGGACTTTTTTAGTTGGTGAGATATAAGTTTTTATATATCAAAAATCAAAATGTCTTTTTTTTTAAATTAATTTAGATTAATAATAGTATTATCTTCTTTGGAAAAATGTATTTAATATCAGAAGTAAATATATTTTAATAATAGACTCTATTTAATAAACAAATTTTTTAAAATTCTATTTTGATATTTCGTTAAAAAAATGATCTATAATTTCTTTAGCAGTATAAAGAAATCATATTTATATGGTACAAGTTGCACTGAACATTTTTTGGTTAATGAAGATAAATTTTTCACCCTTTATTGTTTCTCATTCTCAACTTATTATCTCTTTTCTCGGGAATATTGTTAACAGAATTAAATGTCATCAATTTCTTATCTTCCTCAGATATATTTCTATCACAATATAGAGGAGATTCAAATGTTTTAAACTGAATGAATGATTGCATATTTCTCCAATAAAATTGAAATGTACATATTTACGAAATAACATACACCTTTTTTAAAATAAATATTAGATAATTAATAAATAACAATTTAAGAGAGTTCGAAAAAATGTAATTTTTAAGTACCTATGAGGTATTTTATATCTATTATAGATATTTTATATATCTTATATTTATATATACAAGAGTAGAATTTTCTCTGTAGTTTCTTTTATCTTCATTGCAACCTTTGAAACTAAAATCATAGATATAATAAAATGACAATGGGGCTTTTAATCAAATTTTCATCAACTTAAAGTACATTTGAAAAAAAGTAAACTTCATTTTAGCGGATTCCTCTAAATTTAATACGTATTTTCCTCATATATTGTATCAAAAGTAAAATTCTTTATATGAGAAGATTTTTCTGTATAGGGCTCGTTCACAAACACGTCACACTCCTAGAATTGGAGGGGGGGTATCAAGCTGTGTGTGACGAAATTTGAAAAAAAATTTTTGTATGTAAAAAATGGGACGAAGGGATCTTTAATGTTCCTCTACATGAACCATGAAGGATCCTTCAGGGATCCTTTATAGTATTCTACATAGAATCCTGCCAGGATCAGGATATTAGTACAAAGGATTCCTACTCTCTAAATATAAATTAGTAGAATTCTATACTGACAAATTTATTTGACAACAATTAAAGTCCTGAAAACATTCTAAGTTACTAACAAATAGTACAATTTTACTAATTTTTAGTAGTTTTCATGGAGGACTTTTCCCCTTTTCAATTAGTAGAATATTACTAATGCTTTAGTAGAATTTGACTAATTGAAATAATTACTTATTTCACTAAGGGCCGATTTCACCAACACCGATTAAAAGTTAATCAATGATTAAATTCTCAATTAACCAATCAGAAGCCTTTTTAAACTGTCTTTAATCATTGATTAACTGTTAATCGGAAGTTGGTGAAACTGGCTCTAAATGAATTAGTGAAACTGTTTTATCGAGTATTAATAAAACAGTTCCACGTATTGTTAGTAGAATTCTACTAAGCAATTATAGTAAAGCTCTACTAACAATCAGTAAAATTTCACTATTTGTTAGTAAAATTATTATACTAAACTATTTGATGGACTTCATTAGTAACTTTCTACTAATTCAGATTTAGAGAGTATATAACACTGCAAAAAGAAAAATTTTATTTTAATATATGATGTTTTTGTTTTTTGTTTTAAAATATAATCCACTTATTTATTTATCTTTTTTAAAATACATTAGCTTTCGCCCGGCAACGTTGGGCCTCTTCAGATGAGAATTCGATGTGGAATAATTCCTTCAATTTAAAAAAATATAATTTATAAAAAATTTACTTTTTTCAAAAGCGCATTTTATATATATTTTATATTTTTTTATATATATTTTATATATGATGTTTTGGTAGTCATTTCTAAGATGTTTTCGTGGACACTTTTAGTTATTTGAAATATCTTAATAATTTAAGATGTTAAAAGTATCTTCGTACACATTTTCAGCATATTTTTTGGGAAAAAAGTTTTGAAGTTAACTATGAGCTTATATTGTAAAACACTTTATGCATCTTAGTTTTTAGTAACTTACATTTTTTTCGCATTTTACAATTCACAAGTAACTTATCGCTAAACATCTTATTGCACCGGAAACATCTTAATTTAAGATACTTTAAAAAGCTTGCTGAAGTAACTTACTTTACTAAAGATGGAAGAAATATCTTCATCACTGCTAAAACGTATAAAGCATCTTAGATTTTAGTAAGATAATTTAGAAAACTATTTTAAGATGTAAGATACCATTTTTTTATTTTACATCTTATTTTAAGATATTTCAGAAAAGACACCTATTTTTGCAGTGAAGTTCCACTGCTTTCCTTAAATAATTCATTTAATATCATGCATGAGTTTTTCGAATGTGCCGTACAATTTTATGTCCAGAAGGGTTCTAGGAGCCTTACATATTGAAATATAAAGCACATGTATGTCAAATTTTACTTATAGCATCTTAAAAATAAAAAATTTTCATGTGTAGGATCATGCAAGTCTTCCTGTATAGAAACCTTTACATGAAACATTGATAGCTAATAATCCTGCACTACTGGAACCTGTATGGAATCCTTGTACCAATATCCTATGTAACGAATTCTTACAGGATCCTATGGAGGATACTGTTAAGGATCCCTGATGGATCCTTCAGGGATCCTACAGAGGAACCTTAAAGAATCCCTTCAGGATCGCGTGTAAAGGATTTTTCAAAATTACTTACATTAATCATACATTTTTTTAATACAGCCCAGCAATTTTTTACAACAATAGAAAAAATAGTGTTAATGTATATGTAAAATTTCTTGCCAAAGGAAGAGGGGGGTTTAGAAAAACCAAAAAAAAATTTCATACGTAATTTATGGACAGCCCTCAACATGTATAGAAGGAATTAATTAATCGATCCAAAGGCTCATTAAAGAAATGTTGCTTATAAGTTCTTCTTAAAACGTTTAAGTCCCTAATACAAATTGTTAATCAAATCATGAACTGAAATCTCAAGATGCATAGCTTCGCGTGCAATGTTTGTCGTCTTTAGCGTTAATCTTATTCAGAATGCAAAGTAAGTGCTGAGAAAAAAGTACAAAAAAGTGTTGATCAACTGACAGAAAAAACACAGTAGCGTAGGAATGAAGTTTCTATGTAATAAATAGATTTTTAGTATTACAAGTGCTTCCAAAATTTTACCACAAAATTAATGGATACATGTGATATAGAAATAAAAAATAGCAAAACAAATGAAAGAACCGAGAGAAGAATAAATCTTATAAATAAGTTGTTCTTAGCATGAATATTTATAGAATGATTATTATTAGAAATTTCGAACAATATTTATAGTACAATGTATTTTTAAAAGACATCTTAATCTACAAGAAAAGAATAAACTATATCATTGATAATTTTACTAATTTATTAGTAGAATATATTAAACTATATTAGTTGAAAAAGTAAAAATTCTACTAATTCAGATTTAAAGGGGCACTTTTTCGATTTGATTTTATGAAATAATCGCAATTTTTAAAAGTGTTTCAGACCACTTTTGATCATTGCCCAACACAGCACCGGAAACTAAAAAATTTATTAAATATTTAATTTACTTGCAATGTTTGGAATATTTAATTGCAAAGTTTAGTGAAAATTGCGTAAAGATTTAAATGTCCCACTGGGGCTCCATTCAAGTATTACGTGAGCATATTTTTGAGGTTTTTAGACCCCCCCCCCCTCCCCCATCGTAAGATTTTTTATATGCATTAGCGCCATTTTTTCTAATGAAAGTAAGCAATAGCTAGACCCCCCTCCCCCTTAAATGCTTACGTAATACTTGAATGGTCCCATGGGTCCCATGGGACTTCAATAAATGTTTGTCGTCAAATTTTCCTAAAAATTTTGCTTAAAACTTTTCTGAACATTTAAATTACATTTTCGACTGCTCTATTATAAGCGAAAATGTAGCTTAAAACTTTCCTGAAAATTTAATTTAAATTTTCGCCTAATATACGCAGTTGGGCAAAAGTTTTTTTTAAATTTTCAGAAAAGCTAAATATTTATTAAAGTGGGATATTTAAATCTTTACCTAATTTTCACTAAACTTTTACTACTTTTGGAGTAAATTTTGCTACATCCAAAGAACATAATTTATTATTTGTAAAAAATTAGTAAAACTTACTTTGAACGTAGCAAAATTTACTTCGAAAGTAGTAAAAGTTACCAGAAATGCGCTTAACCAAAAATGTTTTACTATAAAATTAGTAAAAGTTACTTTATATTTTTCTCCGTGAAGTAAACACTTCGAAGTTAGCAAGTAAATCTTTAATAAATTTTTAGGAAAGTTTCGGTACTGAGTGGGTGATGATCTGTATCATTGGGCTCAATTTCTCTAGGAATTTTGTTATTTCTTTTATATAGAATAATATAGTACTTAAAAACTCCATTTTTCAAAATATTCATAGCTTCTTTCTCTGATTACAAATAAATATTTAAGTTTATTAAAAGTCAACATTTAGAAGCTTTAAAATGCTTGTAAAATTAATTTTATTTCTCAAAAATACCCTGAATTGTCTATATAATAATTTTTACAGGAATAAAAATAGAATATTTAATTTTAGCCCTTGTAGTTTGTTTTTGTCAAATAGGAGAAATAGTGATATAAAAAAAAATTCTTACATTGGAAATTGTTTACGAGGGTCGTTTGACAATTGTTTTAATTTAATTAATAATTTATTATCGATATAAAACTGTACATTGTTAAATTTTATTATGTGTATTATTTTATTTTTTTTTACAAAAGTCTCCCTTACGGTCCCATAAAAAAAATTTTATGGACAGCCCTGAAAAAGTAGGTAGAAAGTGTCACGTGGTCAACGCGGCAAAGTGAGGGAACGGAAAAGCGGAAATTTTTTCCAGCATTGTAGAGGATGGAATGTGTGGGACTGTATTTTACTAATAATTGAAATTCGATTGAGAGCTCAATTTGAACGTTGGCAAAAGTTAAGGGGGAAGTCTGCGGTCAAACCGAGGGTTCTTTCCAAAGTGTTTTTTCTAATGATATAATATATTTTTATTAACTAAAATTTTTTTTTGCATAAAAGGGAACGTATTGAGAAGAAAATTTAAACAAAAAAAAATATATAATATCATTAGAAAAAACACATTGAAAAAGTTAAGGCTAGTCTAACGTTAGTATTACACAATAATGTTCTGATTCTGAAAATTTCTGCTTTTATTATATATTATTTATTTTTGAATAGTGAATTATTTTTATTTTTAGTTTTAGTAGGTATAACTGACTTTTTCTTATGATATTAAACAATTGAAAGATTTTTAGGGAAGCTCAAGGTAAAATCTTACATAAAATAAGGTGGTTCTGTATAGGATATCAATTATTGCAGGAGTGCCGCTAAAAATTAATTTTCTTCTATTTTTGACAATATTTAGTATTCTCTTCCTGATTTTTTTCATTTAGTACTTTGAAAATGATTTAGAAATATAAGAGCTCTTATGTTTATGGTTTAGGTTTTCCACTGGCTTTGAGAGGGTGTTCGTTTTAGTAGATTTGGTGTCGACCCTCTTTAATTCTCGAAACGAGAAGCAAGTCATCAATTCTCGACACACAAGTTGTCGTATGTTAAGCGCATTCACAAATGCTGTATTATAAATATACATATATACAGATGCAGAATGAATACAGAGCCATTTGCGGGTCTGGACTGTGTGCAGAGGTTTTTGTTAGCAATTCCCAAAGTCACTCGAATACCATATGCTTTCGTGTGAGATACTCTCACAATATTCTCATAGTGCCGGACGAATGTCAAGATATTGTCACAACCACTGCATACACACACCAAATGATGCGTCCCCTCGATTTTAAAACTTCTCAATTTAGTTTTACATTCAGATCTCTCTTTTTCAAACAGATTTTTCTCATCTCAATTATTCCAGTTGTTGAAAGTATTAGAAAGAAAATGTAGAATTACTAATTACTAATTGTTTTCGTTGACATTAAGATGTAAGAATAATTTTTGAGTATTCTTTTGAATTCAATTATTATCATATAAAATTGCTACTTTCAGGCTTCGCACTCATCTACTAAAACTTACTATTTACTACTTTTTTTACGTTATGCTACTATTTCGATACTTTTTTTTAGATTTCATCCATTAAAAGATACTATTTCTGTTTTTTTTAGATTTTCCACTACTTTAAATTCGCTAATTCTAGAAATAAAAAAACTATTCTCAAAAATTATAATCATATTCCTTAAAACGATTCAATTATTTTTAATAAATATATTCGAAATTCATTTATTTTCAATATCTAGTATTTTCATAAAATTTCGCAAAAGAATTCAATTATTTAAAAAAAAATTGATAAAATTCATCCAAAATTCAATTCTTTTCATAAATAATGAAATTTCCACAGGATTTCAATTAATTTAGAATAGCATTTTCAAAAAATTCGAAAAAATCAATTATTTGACAAAATTTTCATACAATTTTTCGCAATAATTCAATTACTTTAACTGATAATAACTTTTTTCATGGAAATTCAAATTTTTAAAAAAATTTTTGATAAAATTCTAAGCAAGAATTCGAATATTTTCATAAATAATAAAACTCATCGAAGAATTTCAATTATTTTCGATACTATTTTAAATGAATTAATCGAAAAATTCAATTATTTTCACAAATAAAGTTTTCCACAATAATTCAATAATTATTTAAAATAAACTTTTTTAATAATAGGTATTTATTATATTTCGAAAAAATTAACTATTTAAAACAATTTTTTGCTAAAATTCTTATGAAGAATTCAATTTATTTATAAAAAATATTAGAATTTTCCACAAGAATTCAATTATTTTACAATATTGTAATGAAAATGTTCAAAAGAAATCATTTATTTTAAATACAATAAATTTTAATTAAATTTCCAAGAATTCAATTATTTACATAAATAATTCTTCGAAAGAATTCAATTATGTCGATAAATAACAAAATTATTTCCGAAAATTCAATTATTTTTAAAAGTAATAAATTTCTTCTTAGAAAGTCAATTATTTTTAAAAATTGTAATAAAATCATTGGCAAGAATTCAATTATTTTCATAAATAATAAAATGCTTTTTAGAAATTCAATTATTTTTAAAAATATTTAATGAAATACATATTGTCAAAAATTTTAATAAAATTATTGTTTGTAAAATTTAATATTACTTTTAAAAAATTTCGCAATTCAATGATCTTCAATATCTACTATTATCATAACATTTCCAAGCAGAATTCATTTATTTAAACATTTTTTTTAAATCTTCGTAAGAATTAAATTTTTTTCATGAATAATAAAAATTTCTCAGAAATTTAATTATTAAAATTAGAATTTGCATAAAATTAGTCGAAAGAAATCAATTATTTAAATAAAATTCTTGGCAAGAATTAAATTATTTTTATAAATATTCAAATTCTTTGATGAATAATAAAATTTGTTGTAGGAATTCAATTTATTAACAGGATAAGAAAGAAGTAAATATTTTTGATGAAAATTAGGAAAAAGTCAGGAAAATAAAAAATATGGAATAGAATTTTTGTCAGTTTTGTAAAGTGTCTAAAACGAGTTTTTTTGGTCGTCAAGTTTAATTTTTCGATAGCTACTTTTTTTTTACTAATTTTTTTAGTTTGAATGATACTTTTTGCTACTTTTTTAAAATTAATTATCGAGTGCAAAGTGTGTACTTTGTTTATCCACAAATATGTTGTATATTGTACAATCTGATTTTTCAATTAATTTTACTTCACTAATAACCATAATCCAAAAATTAAAAACTGTTAATGGAATAATATAATTCCAAATTTAATAACAAAATTATATTTTGAAAATTTTTCCTTCAAAATGTAATTTATTCTCAAATATAAGAAATAATACAAGTTTACTTCATTCTATTTGAAATAATATAGCCTCCTTCATAAAAGCTTTGTTTTATCAAAAAAATTTTAATTTGACTGTTTTGCTTTTCTTTATGTTTCCTGAGAGGTCCCCCATAAATTACGGAAGGCTAGTGGGAGGAGAGCTGCTATTTCTTACGGTCAATAGAAAAAATGTCGCTAATGCATATGTAGAATTTCTTAAGTGGGGGGTTAAAATTTCCAAAAAAATTTGTTACTTAATTTATGGACAGCCCTTGACCCCAGGAATTCGAAAATCACATTTTAAAAATGTCATTTTCCAAGCGTGTGTGGTAACATTAAATTTTCAGAAATATCTAGATACTATGAAGTGCTTTAACGATGAACTTTTTAAAAAATTGTAATAATCTTATCGAGGGACATAAAATCAGAAGTCTTTAAAGTTTAAATTTAACTGATCGAGTTTAACCATATGTCCTTTTGGGTATTAAGAGCTTTCAAATAATGTTTTCTGTCATTATTTTAGAAACTGTCCTGGGATAGAATATTAAAGAATAGGACAATTATTATTATATGTATTTTATATACATTTAGTACAACTAAAAATTATGAATTTTTTATTTATTATTATTTATTATTTTTTATTTATTAACATAAACAACTAATTAGACAAAAATTAAAATCTAAAATAATTCTCGAAGTTATAATTGGTTTTAAAATTGTTTATTCTACGATAATCAAAAAATTATATTTTTATATTATAAAATTTATAATGTAACTACGTATTAAAGTAATTTATTGCAATCTAAAAACAATATTATAGTCATAATTTTTGAATAAATAAATTTTTAATAGGATTTGAATATTTCTTCATGGATTTTTTTTAAGATTATTCTTTCAGTTGAAGTTTATTGTTCCTATTTCTTTGTTTTTATTCAAAAACCATTTTTACTAAAGTGGCATAATATTCAACACGAAAAATAACATGGTCTTTGCAAGATTAAATGAAACATTTGATTGATACAGAAAAAATTGGTTGACAAATTTGAACTTTTCTTTTTATGAAGATTATCAACTCAGTGATCATTCAGCTTCATTCGTACACATGCATATATATGCTTTAGTGTTCTGTAAGAGTAAATCAGATAATTTAATATAAGTATAGTAGGGTAGAACCGAGTATTTTTTTGGATCTTTCATGTCCTAAATAAGCTAGTGACGCAGCAGGAGTTCCTAAAATTTTACCTGTGAAGAATCTTATTCTTTTAAACCTTTAGAGTGAGAAAGGCCCCATGAGGTATAACTTCCAGGGAAAGTTGCTTCAACGAATATGACATAAAATTATTTTATCTATACATATTTTACACATATCTTTATAATGACACGTCTATGATTGTCTTTGTCTGCGAGAGACTAAAAAATGATTCTTTTGTTTAAAGGTGCTTGTCATGGAATGATCTGGGGACCAGACAGAGAGGATCAATGTGAAAAAGCCATGAGAACATCTTTCCTGGAAGATAGTGCTACTATTGCTGATGAAACATCATCCAGACTCGAAGCCACTTGGTTATCACAAGAGTGAGTGTTTTCAAAATGTCTTGCTTATCATCCAGTTTCCAACATTTTTTTTCCATATCACTTAAACCCAAAAATATTTTCAAAAAATTGACATATTATTTTTATATAGAATATTCTTAAAAAATAACAATATTTAAGTATATATTTGAAGTTAGTGACCGTTTATTAATTATGTATTTCGAGTAAAATACATAAAAAAAATAAAATAAAATACATAAAATACATACTTTTACTCAAAATACATAAATATTTAAGAACTGTTATTTTGCTTAATGAAGCTGAAAAGCAGAAACTCTATTAAAAATTATAAGTATGTTTGAGTAAAAAGTTACACTAATAAATATTTAATTTCAATATATTATATAGATTTTATTACTTAAAAAATAGCATATTATAATTTGTTGATTTTTATCGGAGAAATGGCTCTGTTCTGTATATAGGGATTCGTCAAATTTAAAATATACTATAGAATTTCTTACTTTCTACGGAATTTTCAATTTTTCTCTCTTCACCTTTATATGATTTATACTTATCTGTTCTTCGTATCGAAGAAACTAAAGAATTTTATCAGGAAATAGAAATACACATCTATATCTTGTATGCAAAGATTTACGTTCTCGCTTATCCTAAAACAGCAAAGAATTTTTTGTAACTTGATGTTCTCATGAGTAGGTAAAAAACAGTTTTAAAATATGATCAATAAAATTCAATAATAGAAAAAAATATTAATCAACTTTAAAATTACATGTTAAAATAGGTAGAAACAATTTTAATTTCTTTTCGAAACTGAAGAAGATTTATTTATCTAGTGTAATATTTTAAACTCTTAAATTGAAACATAAATAATCTAGATTATAATTGTCAATAGTTTTTCAAAATTAGAGTTTGAAACAATACCTAACTATTTTTTATATACATTTTAAAAAATTTTTAATCTCACTTGATTTTTACTATTAGACGAATATTATAGATTTCATTTTATTTTCTTTATTTTTTAAATAAGTTTCATTTCTCAGAACAAAAGTACTAAAAATAATTCTGAATTTTAATAAAATACAAATATTTGTTCCTTAAATATTTTGAAAAGGAAGTAATATATGTAATTTTTAAATTAAATTTACAGAAAAAATGAGATACAGGCTTCGCACTCGATAATTACTTTTAAAAAAGTTGCAAAAAGTAGCTTTAAGACTGAAAAAAGTAGTGAAAAGTATGTATCTATCGAAAAATTAAATTTAACGATTAAAAAACTCGTTTCAATCGATTTACAAAAATTTGATTCAGTATTTCCTTGACTTTTGGAAAATAATAAATAATAAATTTTGTATGTTAAATATTTAAAAATTATTACAGTTTTATAAAAATCAAAATTTTCAAAAACAAACCATTTAAAAATCTGTTAAAATTTAATTATTTCTTAAAATTCATATTACAACGCTTCTAATATTCAATTTTTAACTAAAATTTTTTCTTGAATTCATTTTTTATTCAATTCTTGTTAGAAAGTTCTGGGAGAATTAAATTATTTAAATACAAAAATAAATAATAATTGATTGAATAATTTATTATTTCTTAAAATTGAATGTTTATAAAGTATTTTATCAGAATTTAAAAAAATAATTGCATTCTTTGCGGAATTTATTTTTAATTTTCAAAAAATTGAATGAAAATTGTATTTTAAATAATTAAAAATCTGTGAAAATGTTATTATGAAAATAATAATTCTAATTCTAAACTTTTAAGTGAAATTCATTTTTAAATAAATTTTTGTTGGAAAGTTCTACGAAAATTCAATTACTTAAATATACAAAAATAAATAATGGATTGAATAATTCATTATATCTTAAACTTGAATTTCTATACATAGTATTTTATCAAAATTTAAAAAAATGTTTTGTTGAATGTGATCAATATAAAATAAAACATGAATAGAATCATTTTTAAAAATAATTGAAACAAAAATTTAAGAATAATTGCATTTTTTGAGTGAATTTATTTAAAATTTTCAAAAAATTGAATGAAAATTGTATTTTAAATAATTGGAAATCTGTTAAAAATGGTATTATTTATGAAAATAATTGAAGTTTTTGTAAAGAATTTTATTGACATTATTTTAAAATAATAGAATTCTTTTGTGAAATTTTATTAAAATAATAGATACTGGAAATAATTGAACTTTAGCGAAGAATTTCGTTGTTTGGAAAAATAATTGTATTCTTGCTAAAAAATATTTTCTTAAAATTTTTGAAAATAATTGAATCGTGTTTTAAAGAATTTTATTAAAATTTTTCAGAATAATTTCTTTATTTCAATTATTAGCGGGTTTAAAATAATGTAATTTGTTAAAAAAAAGTAGCTTTTAGTGGATGAAATCTGAAAAAAGTATCAAAATAGTAACAAATTGTAAAAAAAAATAGTAAATAGTAAGTTTTAGTAGATGAGTGCGAAGCCTGGAAATATTTATTTAATTATTTTATTTTTTAAATCTTTTTAAAGATCAAATTCTGTTTCTCATTTGTCACGCACTTTTAGAAAATCGTTTTAAATTTTACGGAATTGTATTTTCCAGAAAAAATCACAAAGATTTACCGCTTTTGAGGTCCTGTCCCTGAAAAAAATGGTTTTCTTCACAAACAAGAGAGCAGTCTAAAGAAATATCTCAATTTAGTTCAAAATCGTAGATTTTTTAAGTTAGGGAGAAATGTACAATGTTCGTTGACTTATTTTTAACATTTCTAATTTCTGTCACTATCGTACTAATTTTAATGAATCGTTTTATTAATTAGAGAATATTTTTTATATAAATTTTATTTTTTAAATTAAGGGACCGTTTGAAATAAAACTTGACTTTCAATTGAAATTTCAAATTCGAAGTGAAGGAAAATTACTTCAATTATCATTGTAGAAAATATTTTACGGACGATTAAAAATTTTAAATCTTTAATCATCTTATAAGAATATTGATTCAAAGTTCATAAATAATATTATACTCAGATTTGACAAAGAACTTTTTCTGAAATAAGTATTTTTAATAGAATCATTGAAATCCAACTCTCATTTCATGTCTCATGGTTATTGAAGTAGAATTCATAAATTTTTATAGACTTTTTTTCTGAATGCAATTGTAATAGCAGCTGGTTAACGATCATCGATCAATTTATTAGCTACTCCAAAACGTTGGCTTTTGCTTTATATATTTGAAAACCGTGGAGCTAGATAAATGATTCGTGCTGGCAGAGCCTTGTGAAGGTTTTGGTCCAGGTATAGAAAAACATTCCCAAAAGTAAAAGCGGAGAATGGACAATGCTGTTATTCATGGAGTAGAATATCCCGCATCCTAGGACTTTTCACCCTAATTTTGCCGTTCGTCCCTTTTCTTAGAAAATGCTTTTTAGTATTGGAATAGTTCTAAATGTAACCCATGTCGCTTTTGCAACCTGTCATTTTAAACTGCATTTCAATGGAACTCCGAGCTAGTTTTAAAGCTCTAAATTTTAAGCCTGAATGATTTCTCTGAACGTTGGTTTTTTCAGAATCTAAAAGAAAATCACCACTATAAGACTTTCTATTTTCTTGTGGAAATATTTAACTAATAAACTAGTAATTTTGCAATTTTTTAGGAAGAACTAGAAACTGAAAATCCCAAACACGAATAGAATTGAAAATATTAATAAATTACAGAAAGATTTTAACATCTGCCAAAATCGAAAAAAATATTTAAAAATTTAAATTTTTTGGGAACTTTTTAACCTCTGGCATATTTTTGAAAAATTGCAGAAAAAATTGAAAAATTAAGTATTAAAATCTTATATAAAATTATCTTATATAAAAATGTCATTAAAATCTTTTATCCTTTACAGGGTTGCCACGCAACCTGGAAACCTGGAAATGTCAGGAAATTTTATAAACCTTGAAAAAACCTGAAAAAGTCAGGGAATTTTGATCAAAATCCTGGAAATAAATTGTTGTTTTCTAAAGTTATTGTGTTTATTCTTGAAATCTAATTTCACTTGAATATTTCAAAATTAATTCAATTTTAAAAGAATTGCGTTTAAAATTTTTATAAGTAGATGAATTTCAAAAGATTTTGATTTGAAATTTTGTAAAATTTCAATTTTAAATATGAGTTTAATTAGAAATATATAAAAAAAACTTAGACTTAAAAAAATTTTTTTAAATGGTAAAATTCTTCTGAAATTAGTTAATTTAAATATATATTTTAACTGATTATTAAAAATAATGGATTTATAGAATTTTAGTTAGAAACACTAAAATAAATAAAATTTTGAAGCAATTACAAATGATTGCAGAAATTCAATTATTTTCAAAAGTATTAAAATTCTTCTTACAATTAGTAATTCAATTATTTTCAAAAATTTTAATAAAGTTCTTGTCAAAATTTTAATTATTTTCAAAAACTTTCCTCAATTCAATGATTTTTAATATCTGCTACTTTAATAAAAATTCCTAAAAGAATTCAATTAGTTAAAAAAATTTTTAATAACATTCTACGCAAACATTTTATTATTATCATAAATAATAAAAATTTTACAGGAATTCAATTATTTAAAAATTATTTGCACATATATTATTCAATTATTTTCATAAATAATAATATTTTTTTTTAAAGGGATTCAATTATTTTTATAAATAATAAAACTCATTGCTGAATTTCAATTATTTTTAATACAATTTTAATGGAATTCCTCGAAAAAAGTTATTATTCTTAAAAATTTTATTAAAATTTATCAAAGAAATTTAATTATTTTAATAACCTTTGCTACAATTTATTTATTAAAATTTAAGTATTATTTTCAATACATTTTTAATTAAATTTATTTAAAGAATTGAATTATTTTCAAAAATTTTAATGAAATTGTTTGCGTAACAATTCAATTTTTTTCAAAATAATTTTTAAAAAATTCTTCGCAAAAATCCAATTATGTTTAAAAATTTACAAAAATTCTCGTCAAAATTTCAATTATCTTTGTAAATAATAACATTTTTCTCCGAAATTCAATATTTATTTTCAAAACTTTTTATAAAATTCTTGGCAGAATTTCAATTAGTTTTAATACAATAAAATTTTCATCCAATTTCTCGAAAAATCCAATTATTCTTAAAAATTTTATTAAAATTTGTCAAGAGAATTCAATTATTTAAAAATTTTGTTTATAAAATTCTTTATGAAAATTCAATTTTAAGAAATATTCAATTGTTTAACAAAATATTTATTTTTGTAGTTAAATAATTGAATTCTCGTAGAATTTTCTAATAAATATTAATTTAAAAATGAATTTCAAATTAAAATCTTTGAAAATTTGAACTTTTCATACTTTTAATATTAATAATTCTGTAGAATTAATTTTTCTCAAAAAGTTTAATGTAATTTTTTCTAATTATTTGAAATTTTTAATTTCTAATAAATAAACATGAAGAAAGCGATCTCTCAAAGTCGAAGACTCGGAATGATCGGTATCTTCATGTTTCATAATAATATTCTTATATGTTATTGAATTTCAAATTTTTGAATATTTTAATTTCTAAAAGAAAATAATGATTAAAAATTTATTTAAAAATGAAGTTATTAATGTTTTCGAATAATTTTTGCTTTAAAAACCTGGAAAAATTCCGTTTTTTAACCTGGAAAATCTGGAAAAAAATATTCAAAAAAATAAAAATTTTTAAATGTTTTTTTTAAATTTGTCAATTGCAAAATTTTTTGTTAATTTAATAAATTTTTAAATGACATATCATCAAACCTATAGAGTTTTATAAGCTTTCGATTTTTTTTAAATTTTCTGACATTTGTTTTTACTAAAAATCATAGTTTAAAGAATGGTATGTTTTTGGGCAGTGCGCGGGCAGCCGTACCGACCATTTTCGACTGCAGTGTAAATATTTACTAGAATTATCCCCCCCCCTATTACCCCCATCCCATAAGGCCTAATTCTAAGGTCAAACATTCTTAACCTTTATTTAATATTTATATAAGTTTTACTAGTTACTTAAATAATGTTTATTTTACAAATATATATATTTATATTTAATTAATACTTAATAAAACTAAAACAAATATATACTTTTTAAATCTGTATTAGTAGAATTCTATATTAACAAAAAGTAAAAGGACCCCGCACTAATAAATGCATTAGTTTTGGCTTACGGTTCATTTTTTTCATATTTGCAGAAATAATATAGTTAAAACTATTAAAATTTTGAAATTAAGTAAATTATATCTTTAATTTGAACACATGTAACTATTATTTCTGAAAATAATAAAAAATTAACGATAAGCCAAAATTAATGAATCTTTTGTGTGGGGATAATAGTGATTTATTATGAAAATTACTATTGAGAAAAGGAGTACTTCAATTCCAGATTTTAGCGAAACTTTTCGGATTTTGAGACAAAAAGAATTACGTCTTTAATCTGGACAGTTTTAACTATATTATCTCTGAAAATATGGAAAAAATTAACTAAGTAACTAACTAATAAATTGGTAATCATTATCCTTATGTTGAGTAAAAATTTTTAATATTTTTTACAGATGCGAAGTTCGAGCTGGACCAGAATATCTAATCCGAAAATATTTATTTTTCCCGAATGGAACGTTTTCATTGTCAAGATATCATTATGCAGATGAATCGTGTACCATTCCGACTCATACTGTTGTTGCTCATGGAACAATTAAATTGCAAGCGCCAACTACATTCTTGCCTGGGATTACGAGAACAAAATACATGTTACATACTGTCCACGTTATCCCACTTAACAGACAAGTAAGTTCTACTGTTTATACAACTTATAAGAAAAATTCTTTTGTAAAAGGTCTATAGAATTTATTTAAGAACTGTGAATACTATTTTTTCTTAAATTATAAAGATGAGTCTTGAATGATGACACCTACATAAGTTTTAAATTTTGTTTGAAGTTTTTAAAAAACTTGCCAGAAGTTAAAAAGTTTCCAAAAATTTATATAAACTTGTACAAATGTTTTCAACTGCGACTAAATTATTAGAAAATTAACAAACATTATTGTAATGTCATTTAATGATTTCAGGTGGCCCATAAATTTGAGCACAGAGTTAACGTGACGTGTAGTTCTCAACCGAAGTGGAGACCTTATGTTGCACAATTAATTTACCAAGTAAACCAAAGGTTTTCAAATTTTCATTGGGATGAAGGCTCAAGCTCAAAGTACAACAAACTCGAAGATCATCAGTCGATACACATCCATCGCGGAATAGATTGTTTAAGACCATTGGGTATTGATTTCGGAGAGTTGGATCTTGTCAGGGTTCAAAAGAGGCCTTCAAGTTCCAATGCTTTTGCTATTGGATCTAATGGACAACCCCAAGTTCAATTGTTCCTTGCTAGCTTGCCTCCTAACAGAAATTCTCGAACTTCTTATTTTCCATCTTCGTTACAACCCTCGGTCCTCATTCGAAGCGATATGGTAAATTATATTTTCTTTCAACTCACTTCTCTATACATAGCACAAAATTTTTTAATATGATTGCTGTGAAAAGTTTATATTTTAATTTTAAATTAATCTGTGTTTTGTAGATGTTTGGATGTCCTATTTGCAATGCTGTAATCAGGTCAACAGACAGTAGTCCTCCATTGCTGAATGAAGGAGTTGCGCTCCCGGCTTTGCTAGGGGGCTCATGGTTAAGCGAACACTGCGAGAGTTTCAAGGGTGGTTTATGGATTAAAAGACAACTTCAGGTTTATTCAGGTGACAAACTTTGGACAGGTCGTTGGGACTACTACACAGATTCTAAATGTATTTCTTACATTTACTCTGTAACTGCTGCTGGAAGTTATGTACAGCGAGCTGGTCGTCAAAGACGACATGACGAAATTAATAGATACGTTGAGGAAAATCTCTTGCCAAACGAACGTAAGAAATTAGATCCTATTAAAGTACTTCTCGATGACATCAAACGTTTCGATGATTTTTCAAGAATAAGAAGAGAACCTTTTGAATTGGAATATCCTATTAACTTTAAAAATTTGTTGGAGAAAAAAACAGTTTTAGAAACGATTCCGGATTCAACGCAAGTTATCGATACACAAGTACCAAAGCACGAAGAATCATCACCAACTGCTGAAGTAATTGGAGAAACTATCGAGAAAATATCATTTTCTAACATTCTTCCAAAACCGAGTGACTTGGAAGAAAGTAATGATGAAAATACATTAACGCTACTACCAATTTTGTCGTTGTCAAAAAAACAGAAGAGAAGCGTTAATGACGAAGAATCGTATCGTCATCTTTTGAAACATGCACAACCTTCTTTGGCTGAATCTTATGCAGCAATGTTAAGAGGTAATCAACGTCCAGTGGAACCAACTAAGAAGCCTTCGATGTCGTTTGTACCAACAGGAACGTCAGAATTAGATCTTCATGTGGCAGAGAGCTTTCTGATTCCTGGAGATAGCTTCATTGCTATTCGATGTGGCGGTCATTTGATGGATAATTCAGAATATCAAGTTAACAATGTTTTGTCTTCTTGGCCGAGCAATTGTGTACCGGATTCTCTGGAAGCTCCATCAACACTCAGATTAAAAGCTAGAGTCGGAGTCAATTGGAGTGGTCAATATACTTTAAAACTTGGTCTACGAGATAATAATCTTTGGGATGCTCCTCTTCATCAGTGTGGGCCAACAGAGTATCATAATTTACTTTTGAGAGCTCATCTAAGAAGAAGCCTTGGCATCAAATTTGGTCTCTTTTCTTCATCTGCCGCAAAACTTATTAAACCAACTTGGCTCATTGGGTTCCAAAGTCTCTTGTTTTTATTTTATCGATTTCTGCATTGAGCGAAAATCTTAATAATCTTATTAAGTTTATTAAGTAAAATCAGGGACCATCACGAAATTAATAGTATATTAAACATATGATATAGCAGACCACAAGGAGCAAAAGTAATTCATTTGTGGCCGCCATTTGCATACGGTTGTACAAATGAATGACTTTACTTCCTGTCGGCGCCATTTTTGTGCATGTGGGATAAAAATCTATTCAGAAACATTTTTGTTTCTAAAATCAATACTTGGCTCAGGCTCTGGCTTCAACAAACATAATTCGTTTATATTTTATTGCTAGTACCAAAATGAATTGTATAATAACAATTACAATTGACAGACTATCACTTTTAAACTTGACTGAGTTTTGTAAATATTATATAAATTTTATAAGATTTATATTTATGATCGTAAAACCTATGTTGGTTGTATGTAAATATTTAGATTAGATCACTAAAAAATAAAACCTGTAAATAATTAAAAGTTATGTTGATAGATAGCATTAAGAGAAATTTTTCTTCTTAAAACTTTGTTTCAGTAGATTCTATAATTAGATTAAAATCTATTATTCAATAAGTTGTAAATATTTTAGAGTAGAATTTATTAAAGATCTATGTAAATATGGTACTGTAAGTTTTAAAATATTAAGTTAGAAGTAAAAAATTAGGTATTTGTATGTTGACTTTGCAAATCTTTGCGGTCAAGGGATGCATACCCCAGTGATTGTTCTTATAATAATATAAATATAAATATACTAAGAAACTACTTTATAACGATATTTACAATATTAAGTTAATACTGAACCTTTTCATTTACTGCAATCAAGTTCTTTAAATTTAAATAACCCTGGCAGATTTGATTTACCTAATGTCTACTGAGTTAGATCTAAATTACGTAAATATTAGATAAAACATAAATAGTCCATAGATCAACTAAAATTGTTAAAAAATTTGAAATTGCGAAATTAACTACTTAAGGGTCTTTTCAAGCCTTAATTATTAAAATTCAATTATAATTCTTTAGTTATTAATTTTAAATCTGCATGTTATAAAATTTGTCAATTTAGGCATATGCGATTATACCTGTAGTAGAATACAATCAAATTATTATCGGTGGTATATCTTATATAATAAACGCGCGAAGTTTTAAAACGATGTACAGACTGTAAACACTTAAAAAACTATTTCCTATATTTTAATAAATATATTATTAAAAAAATTTCAACAAATATTTTCTTTTACTTAAAAAAAATTTGTTTTTACAAAAAATCTCAATGAGTGTAAAATCATCATAAAATATTCTACGAGGTTGAACAATGTTTCTAATGTGAAATGAAAAAATGCTCTAAAAGTTGGTAACGATAATTATAGGGTAAGTCCGGGGGAGATGACCATAGTTTTGTTAAAGTAGGGGAGGATGGGGCAAGGATAGTTAGTTGCTGTTATGCTTAGACGGCTATTGCTTAAAAATCGCGTAGTTCATTGTATATTCGCGTCTTGACACAAAAGATGATAGTAGGGACTTCTGTGTTTTTATGTTGTTTGAAATCATACAAAATTCAAATCTACTTCCATTTATATTCTACCGGCTTTTTACATATTCATCTATACATGGAATTAATTCTCAAACTGTTATCTGAGGATCTCTTAGAAGGGAAAAGAAGAAGAGAATAAGTTATATTTCGAATGGACTCTACTCATTTTTGAAGGAAAGGAAATCGCTACAGTTTATATTAATTACAAAAATTCTATTCTCCAAGAAATGTTTCCAATGATCACTACCATAGCCTCCGACTTTAAAGGTCAGATGATGTTATTTGATTTTGTCTACACGCTTGGATTTATTTGGAAATTTGCTATATCTTTCCTTTGCTTATCTTATTACGAGAACGATCGCGCGCTGCCGCGCGCGCGTTTTTTCTCTTGCGCAATCCTTTTTTTAATTTTTTAATTTTTTTTAACAAAAGTACTTATAAAAGTTATAGAAAACCTTTTTATAATCAAAATAAACTATATGTTAATTAAATTTTGTAACATTTAAAATCTTCCATAGTAAATTTATATTTTAAAAAATAGTGATGAAAGAAAAACGTTACTAAATAAACAGTTTTTAACTATTTTTCACTTAGCTAGCAAAAAAACATCTCTACTGTCAAAGAAAGACATAAACAGAGGATATTAAATTAAAAATTTACTTTTGTTTCTTAAAATCGTTCCTACTTTTGCTATAAATTTTTGTCCGAGACTGTTACTCAAGAGATATATCTTTATTTTTTTAAAGTCATGTATTTTTTCCCGCTGAATCCGAATTCGAAGTTAAAATTGACAGATTTGCTCAAAATTTTGAGATAAACTCAAAAAACCACTCAGAAAAAGACTCAAAAATCCGAATTAACATGAAAAAATTTTTTATGACACTACACAGTAGTGTAATATAGTAATATTCCCATGTACTTTTTCCCGCTGAATCCGTATTCGCAGTCAGAAGTGACAGATTTGTTCAAAATTTTGAGATAAGCTCAAAGAACTGATAAAAAAGCGATTTAAAATAAAGAAATGTCAATTTTATGCTATGACACTACATTACAGTATTTTCATATATTTTTACACTCGGATCTCGCATTTAAAGTCAGAATTATTCTAATGGCTCAAAATTTTGAGACACACAAGAAAATCTGTTAAGTTACAAAAATTAAAGTCAAGAAACTCTACTTTTCTTGCTAGTACACTACATTAGTATATTCTCATGTTTTTACATCTGCTTCTAAATTCAAAGTTAAAATTATTAAATTAGCTCAAAATTTTAAGTTAAATCCAAAAATGCTCAAAATTTAATTTAATGCAAAAGAGTTAATTTTTTTGGTATTCGGTAGTGTATTCTCATGAATTTTATATACGCTGAATACAAATTCGAAGTTAGAATTATCAGAATGACATAAAATTTTTTAGAACTCAAACCCTGGTTACAGGTACAAGCATGCATGTTTTTGAGCACTTTTAATGAAATCCAAAATTTTGAGCCACTTTGAAAATTCTGACTTTGGAATCACAGTGAAAAAATACATGGGAATACACTAGTGTAGTGTCATAGCAAAAAGTTTCCTTTATTCATATTAAATTACATTTTTATCAGTTTTTTGAGTATATCTCAAAATTTTGAGCAAATTAGTCAGAAATCTGTCAATTCTGACTTTAAATGCGAGATCCGATATGGAAATACTGTAATGTAGTGTCATAGCAAAAAATTTCCATTTCTTTATTTTAAATCGCTTTTTTTATCAGTTCTTTGAGCTTATCTCAAAATTTTGAGCAAATCTGTCAATTCTGACTGCGAATTCGGATTTAGCGGGAAAAAGTACATGGGAATATAGTAGTGTAGTGTCATAAAAAATTTTTTTCATCTTAATTCGGTTTTTTGAGTCATTTTTTGAGTGGTTTTTTGAGTTTATCTCAAAATTTTGAGCAAATCTGTCAATTTTGACTTCGAATTCGGATTCAGCATGCAAAAATACATAGGAATATACTTTTGCAATGTCACAGAAAAAATTTTTCATTTTCGTCATTTTAATTCGGTTTTTTGAGTCGTTTTTTGAGTTTAGCTCATAATTTTGAGCACATCTGTCAATTCTGACTTCGAATCCGGATTCAGCGGGAAAAAATACATGGAAATATGCTATTGTCATGTCACAAAAAAAAATTTTAATTTTTTTGGTTCAAATTCGTGTTTTGAGTCGTTTTTTGAGTATAACTCAAAAAAAGAACCAATTTGAGCATTCGGACTTCAGATTCGGATTCAGCGGACAAAAATACATAGGAATATACTACTGTAGTGTCTCGGCCACGACACTTTTTTTTGTGTGCCTGTGTTATTAATAATTTAAATTTAAAATTTATAAAAATTTTAATATTGCATTAATAATTCATTATTATTATAAATTATAATGTTAAATTAAATTAATATTAAATACTAAATTCATTTTAAATGCAGATATAATAATAATTATTATTAATCTGTATTCGTATTATAGTTTATGAAACATTACAAATTGTAAAGTTAAGACTTAATTTATTATTGATTCAATTAATAATGTTAATTTTTATTAATTCACATAACCTATTATGACTAAATTGAAATATAATTAATTAATAAAAATTATTTAACAGTTTATTATGATTTATTGATAATATTGGTAATTAAAGTTTACTATTTTACAGTTGCTCTTTATATAGACAGTTGAATCCAGAAATATGTAAGTCGGTTCGGTAGTCGCAGTCGTTAGGGCAGTTAGTTTAGGCACTAGATTAGGTCATGCGTCGCGGTTCGATCCCCGTAGGGTCCAAATTTTAATTTAATTCCGGGAATTAGTTTCAAGTTGTTCCGTATGTAAACAAACTGATATTAATTAATAAAATATATTTTTTAAAATTAATTTGTTGCAACTTTTTGCATATTGTTTAAATAAATAAAACAGAAGTGGCTTAAAAATATGGTCAAAAATGAGATACAAATGGTCTCAAATAGTCACCAATTATGGGCGGGGTCAACAAAGAGGAGGGGATAGTAGCAAACTTGTGACCACTTTAAACTTCCTCCTGATCAGTTGTGATAGATTTCTGACGAGATTCATCCAAAATCGTAAGAAAACTGGATTAAAGTGGTCAGGCAGCCTGACCATTTGTCTGACCATTCCTGATTTTATTTTTAGTAGGGTAAGATTCATGAGATGCAAAATTTCGTTAATAATCTTGAGAAATATTATCTTTAAACTTTTTTCAAAGTTCATTTAAATGAACTGGTTGGCAGTACATTAAAATACGTACAAATAATAGTGTCTTAATTATCTGAAGTTTGAACTATTATTTGAAATTAGGAAATTAAAACGTCTTTGACCAATTGATAAGAAAGAAACGTGTAAAGAAATCTTACGTGTGAATCTTATTACAAAAAAATGACGCAATCTATCTATCTATATTAATAAAATCAGACTTTTGTCTGTACATTGCACGAAATTAATTTTTAATAGCATAATTTATTTATTTGAACAACGGACAATCCAAAAATGGTAATAGAAAATTTCATGTATGTATGTATGTATGTATGTATGTGGGTATGTATGTATGTATGTCCGCAAAATTTTGTTCGCGTATAACTTGAAAACGTCTTGACCGATTGAAGTAAAATTTGGCAATCTTTTAGGTATTGGTCTAACTTAAAATATTAGCTATATTTGATGAAAAAATATTGAGCTAAACAAAAGTTATGAATTTTTCAAAAAATTCAAAAAAAATTTTTTTCTTAAATTTTTGCAGATTGGCATACATTTTTTAATTTATTGATAATACAAATGATTATAAAGATATATAACAATAAATTGAATTAAAAAATAATATTAATATGAAAAAAAATTCGAAATTTTTTTTTTAAATTTTGACAGATTGCTGTAAATTAATTAATTTAACTTTTATAAGATATATATAAACAATAAATTTACAGATTTTAAACATATTAATTAGAACGGGAGGTATTCAATTTTTTCAAAAAATTAAAAAAAATTGAAAATTTCCAAATTTTATATTTTTTATTGTATATCTTTTAAACTTTCAGTAATTAAATATTACATGTTATTTTGTCATATTTTAACATAATTTTGAAAAAAATACTGTCCTGTAACTATAAGATGGAAGTATAAGTATAAAAATGTTTTTAATATAAAAAAATTGAAAAATTATAATTGACAGACCAATTACTATCAAGCTTAATTCAGGAGTATTTTTGGGGTCTCTGATAAACTTTTGACTTCAAAATAATGGAATTTAGAATTATTTGTTTATCCAATTAATCAACAATTTTCAATTGCAAAAATTTCAAAAATATTGAAAATGGAAATTTTTTATGATAAAGTTGATACTGCAGAAATTCAAGAATACCTGTGATACGATACTTGCATTATGCTACTGGGAAAAAACTTAGATAGTAAAAAGTTTTGTTATTTTAATTCTTGATTTAACTTTTAGGGATGTTTTGAGCATTATGTAAAGGCAAAAGTTAAACAAGGTGTCTATTATTATTTTTGTTTAACAAACTATCCGGTTTTTCCCAGCTTTGTCCAATTTTTTACAGGTGTATCTTTTCTCATCAAATATAAATATTCTTGATAAGAATTAACATTAAATAAATCTACAAATGGCTAAAAAA